ATAATATGACTAGGTACACTGCCTATAGGTGCAATAGTAGATAAGTAGTTAGGATATAAATTTAAAACTAAATAGGTATAGTCTGCACCACATCAATATCCAAGCTTAAGAGCTTACATAGAACTAGCATTCTCATCAAGTTGGTGCATTGTTGGTGTCTTTTTAGTTCCACATTCTTCATCAAAACTCAAGCCTCCCAAGAGGACTCAAGGGACAACAAAGGTTGTTATCATCTTTCTTCTTCTTTGGTTGTGTTTTTATCTGTCCATTACTTGCAAGAATATCCTTGGTGGGTTGTAAATGTTATTATGTTCAAAAAAATTTAAGACTTCCGTTGCTATTATTTTGAGTTTTAGAAACCAATTTTGTAACAAAAAGCCAACACACAACTCATTCGACCCACAGACTAGCATACGCTCGGCGTACCAGGCTCGTACGCCCTGCATACGTGATCGATTCGGAACGGCCTTACACCTAGTACGTTCAGCGTACCAAAGAGTACGCCCCGCGTATTAGCCTGATCTCAAACCTTTGGCCAAACGACTTAACCACTTCAGAACTCATCATCCAATCCACAAAATAACATCATATTAAGGTCCTAACCCATAAAGTCGAAAACTTTAAGCCTTTGCATGGCTAAAAACACCCCAAGGTCCAATTCTAGCATCTTAACTCCATTAAGAGAAACATCAACCTTGCATGGTTGAACAAAACCCATCAAGTTATCATTTTTATGATCAAGGGACCTCTGAAAAGCCAGATCTATCATCCAAAGTTGTTGTAGTAGCCCATAGTCCCAAACAAAGATTAAAGGAACCAAAAATGCATAAACAAGACTCTAAACTAGATCTAGCATAAGAAATCTTTGAGAGCTTTATACCTCAAACAGCTTGCAAAGTTGATGATGGTTCTGGATCTGCAAGCTCAAGCCACACCAAAGCAAACTCCAAGTGTTCTTTTTTCCTTCAAATCACCAAAAACACCACCAAAACTCACTTCCAAGCTCAAAACTCACAAATGGCACTTATGGTTTAGGGGAGTGGAGGCTGACCAAAAGATACCATCAAGGAAACATAAGTTGTTTAAATACGGCACAAACCCTAAAAATTAGGGTTTTCCCCTGCTTAGCGTAAGCCCCACGTATTCCCATGTATGCCCAGTGTACGTGGGCGCCTCCGTGACCATCAAACGAGCCCGTACGCCCGTACTCTTAGAGTACGCCCAACGTACTCGGCTAGGGACTAAAATGAAAAGAATTCACAATAAGGGTTAAAAAGGAACATATTACTAAATCTCGAATGTTACATAATCGTTCTATAAAGTTAATGATTGGTAACAAACAATATTGTAGAACATATATAACATGTCTTCACACTTCCGAGCATATGAGAAGAAATGAACATTGCTGGGAAGCTTGTACAAAACTTAATGCAGTTTTTCAATACAATCTAATAGAGTGTTTACGTTGAATTAGTGAAGCTAGGTCTAATCAAATAGCGTGTTTTGGTTAGATAATTTGACAAGCGAGAGGTATTAGAGCGTGTTAATATCTTTCGGTACCAACTTAGAATAGCAATCATGAATTACATCAAGTCATAATCAAGTTAAATGACAACATTGAGAATTAGAACTAGTTACATTCATACAAATTGTTTAGAAGTTTATTTCATTTTTTGCATGTTCTCATAGTAGATTGTTATTTTCATTATTAGACTTTTTCAAACAAAACCCCTTTTTTTTTATCAAAGTACCTTGTATAAAGACGTATAGACTGACTATTCTATGTGTCTATGGTTCAACCCTGCTTGCTTTGTACTACTTTTTAGTGCATTAAAGTAGTGTATTTGGAGTCTATTGTACCCATATTATTTGTTGGGTTTGACACACTTAACAGGTTGTCAAGCACATACGATTTCTTTTCAAGCTTGAGAACAACTCTCAAATTTCAATTTCAATCAAGGAAGTTCATACGGTTCAACTTGTCATTCTCAAGGACGGATTGAAGGTATGAAATGGATAACAATTAGTTGCGGGTGCATTACCGGCCAACTACAAAAGTTTTAACAACGTTTATTTAGTATTTTCAATGTTTAATTATTTTAATAATTAATGCCCTTTTATGTTTCTAAAACATTAATTAGTTAAAGACTAGGATCCAAGTTGCAAAAAAAATAAGCAGTTAGGTATCTTTTTTCTTATTTATTTAATTCAACAAGGTATGTAGCGTTTACTGTTTTCATCAAAATGTAAATACTATAGGTATGGGATCCTTAAGATTTGTTAATTGACATGTTTGATCTCATCTTTGCCTCGAGTCTCTAATGCTTAGGTGACCTTTATTGTAAAAAGATTTCCGATCAAATCATCTAACTTGAAAAAAATTGTGGGATTGACCCATAACTAGTTATAGGAATCACGAAAACCACCTCGACCATCACTAAGACAATTCAAATGGTTAGATGTTATTTTCCCACAATGACCATATAAATGATGTGCGAGTGTTTCTTCAAAAGGACGTCATAGACTTGCGTCTGAAAAAAAGATTTTTATATGTTTTTCAATTCTAGTTTTAAAATATATTGTATCATGCATATTGCATGCATCCAATGACACGTGATACCTTTTGAAAAATCATACTTCTCATCTTTGGTTCTTTTAGTTAAAATAAAATCTCTATTTTATTAACTATTTGTTGCGGTCAATTTTAAATTAATATCATATATTAATGTTTGAAGAAAGTGACAACTCTTATATGAATGATTTTATTAGATCATATGTCATGCGAAAAGAATTTGATGATTAAAGGTGTTGATGTTCCTTCTATTTTATGTCTAAGTTGTAACAACCAATTGGAAAAAGTTGATCATATTTTCTTGGGAATGTGAAGTGCAGTTCAATTATTTGTGAAGGTCACGATTGGCGCGGCTTCACTTTCCCTACGGTTAATAGGGTGTGTCGTGGATTGAAAATGTTCTCTTGTCTTCAAAAAAAAACGATCATCTTGGAAGCTATAATTAAGTCGACATGGCGGAGTATTTGGAAATCCATAAAAGAGTTGTTCGGGGGTAAGATACCTAGACAAAAGTTGTTATTTGATAATATTGTTACTATGTATGTTATGTGGTGTGTAGTGTTGTTTACTGTTTAATTATTTTTATAGAGTTTTGGCAAATATTTAAGTTATATATTTTTTGAAGTATTTTGCCTCTTAATAACCGAATTGTGAAAACCGATCCAACCAAATTGTAATTTGATTTGATCGGCTCGGTTTTGAATTTTGCTTGGACTATTCGGATTCATGTTTTGAAAACCGAAATCTATTTAGATTTACTTGATCGGATCGGATAATACCCCTAATAATGTGTGCATAGACCATAAGCTTAAAATATAATGAATTCCTAGATTCAAAACTCAATATTCTTATAATCTTTTTTTCTCTTACAATATAATTATCTATTCTCAAAAAAAATAAGAAGCCTTTAACAAAATAAAATCTATTAAGGCTTTAAGAGGATGGACTAAGAGTTTTGTATTTTTGCTAAGAAAGATATTAAAGTCGGATAAAAAGAATGATTTCTTTTTCCAATGATAGGTGGAGGTTCTGTTGGGCTGAGATTATTTTGTCTTCTAGCTAAAATAAATAGCGGGCTTTAAACAGTTCAAAAATAAAGCTCTAAACGGTTCAAAACTATAAAACTACAACCGGGCTAGGCCTTTTAAATATTTTTTACGTATTAATAACAATCGGACAATGTTGTTTTTTCTTTTCTTTTTGGTTTTTTTATGTTTTGTTTAACCGTTGAATTTATAAAATAGTTACTTAAAGTGTTCATATGGAATTTTATACTAATAAATTAAAATGATGCATTTTTTTGGAACTTTTAGTAATTTATAATGTTACAATAGAATGATGCATTTATTTAACATTTCTACTATTTCTATAATTGACATGTTTACAAGTTTAAAAACAAGAATTTCAGTAAAAATCACTAGACTTTTTCAAACAATGACCTTGTAATTTTGATTATAGGTGAGCTTTTGGATCGGACCGGTTTTACAAAAATTGATGGACCTCGGACCGAACCTGTTGAGGCTTATAAGGTCAATGTCAAGGTCCGGCTCCCGATTCTCAGATGTAAAAATAAGCATTTGGATCAGACCAAACAGGCTTTTGGACCGGACCTGTTTTGCAAAAATTGATGGACCTTAGACCGGACCTATTGAGACTTATCAGGTCCGGTTCCCGGTTCTCAGATGTAAAAATAAACATTTGGATTGGACCGAACCTGTTTTGCAGAAATTAATAGACCTTGGACCGGATCTGTTAAGGCTTACCAGGTCTGGTTTCCGGTTCGGAGGTCCAAATGCTCACCCCTTGTTTTGACCGCTAGTCATAAGGGGCCAACTTTTCACATTTGGACCATCTTAACCGGACTTTGTCGGGTTTGAAAAAAGCTATGGCCCTTTCAATTTCGAATGAAAAACAAGCATGCATCATATAACTAGTTGAGCTCAAGTTTAAAAAGTCTTCACTTAAGTTCTTAATAAGCTTCACAAATCTTACCTATGTATTGATATTTTTTAAATCAAAAATCATATCATGTTTGCGTGCTTTATTGAACATACTTCTTACAAATTTTCTCAAGCTATTCAAGCTTTTGAGTGGAGAGCTTGTTCCACCAAACATATTTTTAATACATATTTGCAATATAGAAAATAAAAACTAATCAAATAAATAAAACATATAGACCAATAAAGTAATCCAATTATCTCCAACTATAATGTAGCATCACAATACATAAAATTTCAAGCTCTACATCATCAATTTAATTCTATGTACATATGATGATGATAATAATAATAACAATAATAATAATCATCCAATCTAATTCACTCTCTCAAGGCAAAATTCATCCTCACATGAATAACTTAATAGCCCATCATTGGTTGTTTTTAATTCTTTTTAAATTGACACCCTATTTAATATTTATACACCTTACAACACACATGAACACTCTCCCCTACCTTGTTCACATGCAAATTTCTACATAATATATATAATTATATATATATACTTATAAAGTATAAACCACCTCATTTTACGTTTTACCCCCTCCAACTTCTCTAGAAATTACCACCAACCCCTTACTATTTAGAATGCCAAGAAACATAAATACTTCATAACCTTACGTTTTTTGGTTCGATTAACACGATCTTTCTTTTCTTCTTTTGAACCTTCAGAAGAACTACTTGATGATGTGGCATTTGAAGTGCCACCTGGCTCGTTTTGAGAAGTGGGGCCCGTTGTACTAGGTTTATGATCCTTGTCACTCTCAACAGATCCTAAAGTAAATTGTTGTATAATAATTAATAAACAAATCAACAAAACCACATTTCCATTTCCATTTCTTGCATTAGATAGAAAAAAGATTATATAACTTCATACCTAAAGTTGTTGTGTTTATAACCACTTCTTTTAACTTTGAAGGAACAGAAAGATTCAATTGAATTTTTGATTCTTGAATCTCTTGAACTCCATTATCATCTTCAAGTTCACGCATTAAAGCTTCTGAATCAAAATATTCTTCAGATGTCATTGTCATACAGCTTGAATCAGTAGCACTTGTAGTGCGTGATAATGGAGTAGCAAGATCATCCATTTCCAAATAATCACCACCTCTTGGGACATAATCACCTACATCACCAGAATCGGGGGTGCGTGGTAAGGGAATAGCAAGATCATCCAACTCCAAGAAATCACCACTTGGATTTGGATCCGATGGTCCCGCCGCCACATCATCCATGTTCTTTTCCTACAAGGGTATTATTGGAATTTGGAATAAATTATGGTGTTGTGTATTTTTGAGTTAATGGATTTGTATACATGAAGTCTATTTCTTTTTTCTTTTCTAAACTGAATGAACTGTCTGAATTCGGAAAGAGACTAAATGACCATTTTACCCTTACCAGAAGTTGACTTTTAGTAGAAAGTCTTCCACTGATGCTCTCATCTACCAAAAAGACCTTGTATAGTGCTCTAGGATCCTGCATAATTTCCAACCAAACCAGCAGTTGACTAGTAGATCGGATTAAATATATAAATAACAAGAAACATGATAGAATTTATATAAAAAAGAAAAAGGAAAATGGGGTGTAAGAGTGTAGAAATGGAGAGAATATGATATATACCGGCTTACTGATAAGTTTTTCAGTTATTGTGTACTTCTGCATCACCCAATTAGTCTTTTGTCCATCAGGGGATTTCCCTTCATAGAACTCAAGAGTCTTTCTAAAACCAGAAACTGAAGGGGTAGAATATATCTCACAAGCTTCCCCTTTTGACTTCCAGAATCCAAATTCTGTTTCCCTTTTTCTCCCTGACCAAAAGTACCACATGTTTTCTGCAAAAGTTTTGATTAATTGATTAGTTGTTATCAGTATTGTTAATCATAATAAACCATTGGGGATCTTGTATAAGTATGAAATACAGAAAAGCATAATAGCTATAAACATGGATGCTAACCAGGGTAATTTGCAGGTGAGAATTGGAAAGGATCCACATCAGGAAGTATGTAGTCAGGTAAGGAGGAGGATCCATTTTTTATCATCATCAAGAACTTACAGATCCCTTCATCTGTTAAGGAGTCACCAAGTTGAGTTGCAGGAAGAATGGAGGATGCTGGAGGACACATTCTGTGGAAGTGAATCAAAGTTTCTACATGAAAAATGAAAGTGTTAGTTAAATTGGCATTCATGATTTCTACTTGATTTAACTCTAAAATGTTAATAAGCTGAATAGGTAGCTTATTATGATTGAAGTTACTAGATAAAATTCAGAATTGGAGCTGAATGAATTAAGAAATGGAAACAAGATACACATAAAGGCTAAAGCAAACTATCTATCATTTAGATTTGATGTACAGTTGAGAGAATCTAATCAAGTGAATAAAGTTCAAGGATACTTTATCTATTTCAATAGTTGATATAAACGTTTGATTGTACTATCAGAGTGCAGATTTCATCATTAATCTCCCAATTTATCACTTTGTTCCTTTGAACACAAAGAGTAAATCAGAATTCGAGACAAATAATCGATCTTTTCATCAAGCTGTAAAAGGAAAGGGAGGAAATATTTATTGATTTGACGTTGTTAGATTATTTCTTAAAACGAAGAAGCATTAGAAATCAGACACAACACAGTCAAAATCATCGAAACAAAAACACCGAAAACGGAAATCCTGTCAGAATCATTCAATACAACAACTTTAACACCAGATACACAAAACAATAGCACAAATATTAACATAAATCGATCGAGCTATACATCAGAACAGCATATTTAATTTAACATCGGAGAAACATCAATACTAACACATCCACGGTATGAACACTCAAAAAACACCAATGATTTGCATAATACTACTCAAAGAATGTATAATTCCAGATGATCGGGGATGTATTTACACACGAAGTCACAGAAAACCCCACAAAGGGCTGGCTGACCCGGTCCACCCCAGGTTTTCTGTGGATTTGGGTGCAGATACAGTGATACACCGTTGACTCGAAGGTTGGTCAACGGGGAAGATTACCTCCGGCGACCGGAGTAGACGACTCCGGCGTCTGCTCCTCCGACTCTGTGTGTGTAAATTGTAATGTGTGTGTGTTTGCTTAATGAAGTTAAGGAAGAGTGATAGGGGTTATGAGATATATAAGGGGGAATGTTAACTATGGTTGTAATGGGTTAGTACTTAGGTTAGCTCTTTTGGTAAAATCTAAGCCGCCGTAGACCGTAGTTAAGTGGTGTAGCACGTCTTATTGAATCCGGTCGTCGCTACTTTGTATGAAATCTTCAAAATTGTATTCACAAAATCATTAATTAATCAATAAAATGGTCGGAATGGATAGTGTTATTTGAACAAATATTTGTGAAATAATTATTAGATTTTTAAAGTTGTTTTATAGGTGATCATATTCGAATATATATGTATTTACAAAAAACTTTGCAAAAAACATTTTGAAAACTTCTTTTTGAAGGGTTTTGTAATGGTGATAGTTCATAAAACAATTTTACAAAAAAAAAAAAAAAAAAAAAAACCTACACGATGGACTTTGCAAAATAAATGGCTGGTCATTTTAGTAAGGGATAATGACTTAAAAGGTAATATATTTTTGACAAAACTTCAAAAATGGTCCTTGTGGTTTCTGAAAATATCAAGTTTAGTCCCTAAGTTCAAAAAACTTCACAGATGGTCCCTGTGGTTTCAAAACTTTTAATGTTTAGTCCTTCCGCCTAACTCCGTCAGCTTTCTACCGTTAAGTGAGGGGTATTTTCGTCATTTCAATATCCGGGGACCATTTATGAGGTTTTCTCTTAATATCTAGATTTTTTTATTAAAAAAAAAAATGAAAAAATGAAAGAAATTTGATCTCTCTCTCTCTCTCTCTCTCTCTCTCTCTCTCTCCCCATTGCTTTGAGACTTGTACAGTACGTATTCTTATAGCTTCATCTTCCCCAAAAAGCCAAACCAACTTTGACCTTGA